AGCAGGAGAAGCTCAAAAAGTCCTTGAGTAGTCTGAGCACTACTTAGCAACAACTAAAAACATCAGTGTGTTATCAACATTCTTCTAGTACTAAATCCAAAACACAGCACTGTGATAGCTACTGTGAAGAAAATTAACTCTATCCCAGCCAAAACCAGGACAGTATCCACCCCTTATTCTATACCATTTACGTCATGCTTACATTCCAATTAATCACCACCACTTTCCCATTTTTTTTTTTTTAAATATATATACAGATATCATTCCCCTAGTCTGTGGGCCATCCCTCTAAAATGTCCATTGGGTTCATTTAGTCCATGGTTTTGGATTCCATCTGTCATAACAGTCCTTCAGGGCAGGAGAGTTGGGGTCTGGTGTTGGGTTGTTGCATGCTGAAGTCAGTTCTGGTTCCATCCACTGCACTTCCTCAGTTCAAAATTCATTCTTAATCTGGGCGATTCTTAGTGTTATACCATTAATAGGATATACAGCAATAGTAAAAATGATGACATACTGTATTATACAGCAGTTAACATTATACAATTCAGTTCATTGGCTATTTTCACCCAAAATCAAATCCCTTTGAGGTACACGTCAGACTTCCCCGTCCTTCCATATCACCCACCAAGTGGAGCCAGATCCTTGAGCAAAAGCAATCCCACGGTTATGGGTTTGCCTTTACCTGAGGCAGGAGTAACCCAGACTGTCTTCCCCAGCATACTTTTTACATGCACTACAGGGACTTTATCCCCTTCTACAGTACGTAAGAGGCTTGATTGGGCAGGGCCCACACGGTTGGAAGATCCTCTAGTGTTGACTAACCAGGTAGCTTTTGCTAAATGTGTATCCCAATGTTTGAATGTTCCACCATCCATTGCTTTCAGTGTAGTTTTTAACAGTCCATTGTATCGTTCAATTTTCCCAGAGGCTGGTGCATGATAGGGGATGTGATAGACCCACTCAATGCCATGCTCTTTGGCCCATTTGTCTATGAGGCTGTTTCGGAAATGAGTTCCATTGTCTGACTCAATTCTTTCTGGAGTGTCACGTCACCACAGGACTTGTTTTTCAAGGCCTAGGATAGTGTTCCGGGCAGTGGCATGGGGCACAGTGTATGTTTCCAGCCATCTGGTGGTCGCTTCTACCATGGTGAGCACATAGCGCTTGCCATGGCGGGTTTGTGGGAGTGTGATATAATCAATCTGCCAAGCCTCCCC